ACGTCTCCGAGGTTTCCAATCACGAGGAAGGCGTTTCTGGCCACCTGCAGTTAAACACTCAACGGCAAAATTAATCGTTCTGACAATTACATTGTTCTCAAACTACCACAAAGGCAAAACATTCTAATCTTACTAGGGAGGTGCTAAAGGGAAACACAAATAGCAGCAAAGTAAAAAAGCAAATGTGTAGTAAATAATGAATAATAGATGTTGGCGATTAATGTTTGACACTTCTGATTCTGTAGGGCGCCAACGGTCGCCTGTGGATCGTGAGGTCTGAGTTCAGGTCCTGAAAGTGTCGTACATTTTTCAAAATTGTCTTGGTTCCCACGTCGACCGCGCCTTAAACGGGTGACCAGTTAGAGTCATGGGAAGTAAAGGTGGCTGGCGTGATGTTGACAACATCAACCACTAAGTGCTGGTGGATTTATAAAATAGTCTAACCCTGTATACCCAATCCTGAAGACGTGGGAAAGGGTCCGCTTTTTCACGAATACTATAAGAATGAGGGTCAGCGTTTGTGGCTCAGGCCTTGCGAAAGCGCTTCGTAATACCGAGGTGCCGGGTTCGATTCCACATACTGACAATTTGCCTTGCATTGTTTTCGACAATGGAACCGAGAGCTGACCGTTCGGTAAGCAGTGGCAAACTACTGAACGTAAAACTTGCCTAGAAAAACCACAACAGCCAAAACAATAAATGCTGGTGCTGGCTCTGCAAAGTCCTATAAAGGATACACAACTAACTTTTATAAGAGGAACAAATGAAAACGGAATAGTATGAGAGGGAAATAATAAGGAAAAATAGGCATAATAAAATTGCTAAAAGAAGTGGAGGAGAAGGAAGAGATGGAAAAAGAGAAGAAGAGGGAGAAGAGTAGAAAACTAAAAATACGTTTAGAGGGTAGATTAGGAATGTTTTATGCGCTCATTAAAATAATTTTATGCTAGTTAAGTTTATCTTTTTTCCCCCTTTTTTTTTTGTGTGTTGTTCTAAGAATGTTCAAATGATGTTACTATGACACTATTCTACTATTACTACCCCTACTACTATAGCTACTACTACAAATCTTCCCCCTTCTGCTACTACTTTTACTACTGCTCCTACTGCTGCTGCTGCTAATGGTGCTACTACTACTGCTGCTACTGCTGCTGCTGTTGCTATTACAATTATTACTACTACTATTATTATAATGCTTACAATACAACTATTATTACAACTACAACTACTGCTAGAAAAATAAATCTCATTAGCATACATAACCAGGACGAGATTAAAAAAAACACAAGTGTATCACCTTCAGGTCATAGAGTGACTCGTTGTAAAGTTTCAGAACTTTCTCGGCATACTCTATGACGTTGGTGACCGTCAGTGTGCCAGGGTCGGAAGTGTTTGTGAAAATTTCGGTGAGTTCTGCAACAAAAATTTTTTTTTTTTAAAGTCAACAATTATTTATAAAGGTTTCGAAGTCAACTCAGCCTAAGCTGGCAACTAAAAAAATGATGCCAGTGTGGCGTGAAGTAGTTACTTTAATTTTATTAATAATCATTTCAAAATCATGACTGAAGGCAAATCCATCTCATCATCATCATTAGGTGACTTGACGACTGGCGTCGGCGATCATGCATCTCCACAATCTACGATCCCCTGCAGCATGTATCAGTTCGTATGCTGACACACCTCCAACAAGACTGTCAAGAATCGTCTCCCGTTGTCTTCCTTTATCACGCCTTCCACAGATCTTTTCAGTGGTCACAACATGTTTCATTTTCCCTTTTCTCATAATATGACCAATAACTGATGACTGTCTCCTTCTGATGTCTGTGATTAGTTGTCTTCGAGGTCCCTCCTCTTTTACAACCTCTTGGTTGCTCTTTTTGACTGTCCAAAGAATTTTAAGCATTCTTCTGTAAAACCACATCTCTGAGGCCTAAAGAAATGTTTGGTCTGCCTACCGATTTTCCCGGACATACAGCCATATGTTAAAACTGGATGTATGTAGCGAGCAAGAATTCTTTTTCTAACCCTCGATGACAAAGTGTTCAAATCCATCTCAGAACTTGAAGTCCACGACACTGTCTTTTTTTTTTTTTCAGCAATGTACAAGGGTTATAATAATTAATTATGACTCAAAATGCACGATCAAGAAAAAAGTATCTTTTTCTGTTTTTGGGCAAAACATTAATGTCTATAATGAATACAGCAGACAAACTACATATTAAAATCAACCATGAAGTGATCGAAAATGTCCCAGCTTTTGAAAATGTCGGCTAAATAGTGAAAAACAATGGTGACTGCAAACACACACTTACACACACACACACACACACACACACATACACACACCGTCTGAAGAGAGGTTTACTTTTGCAATACTTAGAGCAGCATTTCTCAATTTATAGGTGGCGACCTCTTTATAGGTCGAACAAGCCTTTCACAGGGGGTCGCCGAAGACCATCGGAAAACACAAATTCACTTACGTTATGAAGTAGCAACGAACATAATGTATTTTTGGGTTTGGGGTCATCACAACATAAGGAACTGTATTAAAGGGTCACGGCATTAGGAGGGTTGGGAACCCACTGACTTAGAGAACACGTACACCCCATATTCTGTGTAATTGTTTTGTTATTTTGAAGCCTCATTCCGACTGTCATCCGCGGGTTTAACATAAGCTAAAGTGAAAGAGATTCCTAGGACTTGTGCACGCGGATTCTCCTCCAAGGGCTAGCACTTTGTGTCACCGGGTGTAAATCGCTCCTTGTGCGGTCCGGGGGTGGCTGAAAGTCACTCACTCAATTTAGCGACTATAAGAAGAAACTCTACAGGGGAGCATGTACAGCAGGAGTCTACCAATCATCAGTAGAAGTAATCTCTCGTCGACAAATGTTTCGGCCCACGAGCTCCTATACATTTTCAGAGAGTGGGCCCACCTGAGTTCATGAGTTTCAGGGTTGGTTTTCTCCTGCTGCACGTATTACCGCCAGACTAAATAGAGCCATGATTTCTAAATACGATACCCATCTCTGCAAATGAACCAGGTTGTTGCAATATCGCTGTGTATTATATTTAAAGGAGGCACATCATGTATCTTGGTCATGTGACACATTTATCATAAGTAATCCTTCCACGGATACCAGTATCACGTAGACCTGTTTAAAGTTAGTTGCGCATCCTTTACAGGACGTTGTAGAAGCAACCGCAGTATTTTTGAGCTCTTGTGGTTTTTGCTAGGCAAGTTTACGTCCAGTAGTTTGCCATTGCTTTCTGGGCTGTTGACTTCTCGATACCACTGTCGAAACCGATGCAAGGCGCAAAGCACGCAGCTGGGATCTAAACCTGACACCCTGGCATTACGAAGCGCGTTCACACTGCCTAAGCCACAGACGCCGACCAGCATCATGTAAACATGTTTAGTTGCGTGGCCTTTACAGGACGTTGCAGAACCAAACCCAGCATTGTTTGGGCTGTTATGGTTTTTCAATGCAAAATTTTTAGTTCAGTGGTTTGAACACACACACAAACACACACACACACACACACACACACACACACACACAAACAAACACACACACACACACACACACACAAATAGTAATAATTAATTAGCTAATCAAAAATTGAATACATTGCAGTCGTAACATTCCCACAGGGTGTTCCGTCTCCGTCTTCGGTAACCAACGAAAGGTCAACATGCTAACAGTACCAGTTGTAACCTGAATAAAAGTCCGTGTTTTTCTATCTCTCAGTAGAGAGAAAGGCTTCGCTGGATTGATCCATACAACATTTACCTGGTGTGCTGGGACAAGAGTCCTTTACTAAATGGGTTGCAATAGCGAGGTCGGGCTCATTTGTACACTAGCTGACTTTTGATTCATGCTTGCTCAGGCGGGTGTACGTTAGCGGGGTGTCACCATGTACCGCTGTTTTCGGAAAGCTTTCTGCGTTGACTGTTAATCTTTGTTGTGTGAGCAACTGCCGGCGACGTTGCGTTTTCACTCGTAAGTAGAAAGGCGTTGCTTCCACGGGTCGTACGTTGCACTCTTTCGTTGGACGTAGGCTGAGGCTGTTTGTGTTAGGGCCAGTTCTAGATATCAAGTCAATCACCGGGTATGGGACCGGACACGACATTCCTGTCACATAGGCCAGCCTAAACACGCATGAATAAAAGGTTAGCTAATGTGTATATGGGCCAGACGTCGTTACTACAACCACTAAAAGTCTCTTTTTTTTTTCTTTTACGCCAGTGGCACATCAGGCATTTTTCACTAGGCTCTTAGTTTAGAGACCAGCCAGCAATCGGTGGCTGTTGCTTTATTTCCCAGGACTTTACTTGGTACACATGTAAAGCTGGCTTAACCTAGGAGCCAAGGTCATTACTGAAAGAGTCTGGCTCTATTTGGATTTAATCCCACGACCTTCAGATACGCAGGATAGCGTCTAGCGGCTACACCACGACGGCTCCCTTGATTTACAAAAATTACCGACTTAATCGAATATTTTGGAATACTTCTAAATAGACCAGCCTCATAGTTTCTCCAGATATCTAGCCTTTAGAAAAGGTTCTGGAAAACAATTGTGAAATACCATCTGAAGACGAAATTAGAAAAGAAGGAAAGGCGGCAGGTCAAGATGGTGACTCAGCAGAAGTTATAAACCAGTTATAAGCCAGTATAAACACATCAACGAAATTGCTACATAGATTATTAAGAAATATCTGGGACATGGAAGAAATGACTCCTTCGCGCGAACTACGCTGGAGTATAATTTGGGAACCACTGAAAGTTGTCAACTCTTGCTACTCACCTGTTGGACTGGTCGTAGTGGTTACCGCTGCTGTTGACGTCATAGCCGTCTGTGTAGACGTTTTAATCCAAGTTGAAGGAATCGTTGGAGATTCGGGTACTTCTTTGGTAGTATTTGTTTCAGATGATTGTGTAGTCCAGGTTTCTTCGGTGGCGTTTGTTGGACGGGGCGCTTTGGTCATTGTTTTATTTGTGATGTTTGTTGAGATAAACGTTTCCGTAGTGGTGCTTACTGGAATAAATTTTGTAGCCGATTCCTCTTGTTTGGCGTTTGTTAAACTCGGTGTTGAGTCCCATGTTCTCTTGGTGGTGTCTGGTGGACTCGATGTTGTGTACCATGTTCTGTTGGTGGTACCTGGTGGACTCGATGTTGTTTCCCATGTTCTCTTGATGGTGTCTGCTGGACTCGATGTTGTGTACCATGTTCTCTCGGTGGTGTCTGTTGGACTCGATGTTGTGTCCCATGTTCTGTTGGTGGTGTCTGGTGGACTCGATGTTGTGTCCCATGTTCTCTTAGTGGTGTCTGTTGGACTCGGTGTTGTGTCCCATGTTCGCTTGGTAGTGTCTGCTGGACTCGGTGTTGTGTCTAATGTTCTGTTGGTGGTGTCTGGTGGACTCGATGTTGTGTACCATGTTCTGTTGGTGGTATCTGGTGGACTCGATGTTGTGTACCATGTTCTGTTGGTGGTGTCTGATGGACTCGATGTTGTGTCCCATGTTCTCTTGGTGGTTTCTGGTGGACTCGATGTTGTGTACCATGTTTTCTTGGTGGTGTCTGCTGGACTCGATGTTGTGTACCATGTTCTCTTGATGGTGTCTGGTGGACTCGATGTTGTGTCCCATGTTCTCTTGGTGGTGTCTGCTGGACTCGATGTTGTGTCCCATGTTCTGTTGGTGGTGTCTGGTGGACTCGATGTTGTGTACCATGTTCTGTTGATGGTGTCTGCTGGACTCGATGTTGTGTACCATGTTCTCTTGATGGTGTCTGATGGACTCGATGTTGTGTACCATGTTCTATTGGTGGTGTCTGGTGGACTCGATGTTGTGTCCCATGTTCTGTTGGTGGTGTCTGGTGGACTCGATGTTGTGTCCCATGTTCTCTTAGTGGTGTCTGTTGGACTCGGTGTTGTGTCCCATGTTCTCTTGGTTGTGTCTGTTGGATTAAGAGTTTTGTCCCATGTCTTCTTTGTGGTGTCTGTTGTACTCGGTGTTGTCCGTTCTGTGGTGAAATGTGTGCTTAGGTGAAAGAAATAATTACTAGATGACACTTCTAGTGTGTTCCGTGTAGAGTATTCAGTTCCATTTGGACCGACGCCGAATACACTTAGTCTGTCCTGTGGCGAGGATTGTGTTTCTTTGAGCTCCAAGGTCCAGCTCGCTTTTGGAATATCTTTTAAACTGACTTTGTCAGTATCTTGACTTTTTTCCATGGTATATTCTGTACTAAAGATGACAGTAGTTGGTCTAATCTGGAGGGTGTCATGGGTACTCAAGTTGTCAATGGTTGGACTTATCTGGATGGTACTTTGTGTACTGAAGTTACCTAATGTGAGTTTTCTTTGTGTTGTGTCTGCTGTTCTTGCAGACTCACTACTGTCAGTTTCTTCTTCTAACTGGCTGTATGAGGTGCTATCAGTCAAGTCCGGCGATCCTATCGTTAATGATGATGATGCTGATCGTTCCGATGATTGCCAGTTCGAGGTTATTTGAATTATAAATGAGTCTGAGACATCAGTCACTGTGTTGTACAGGCTAACTGTCTCAGTATCTTGCACTGGACGACACAATGAAGAATGGATGCTTCTATAGATATCTGATGGTCCTGTGAGAACTGTCGCTTCTAAAGGGCCATAGGCTGTCGTCTTTGGCATCGAAATCACAAATTCAGCTGTTTTAGTATCAATAGATGGTATCTGAGAACTCCCAGGTACGGCTGTAGTCTGGACTGAAGCAACATGACCTGATGCTGGCAACTGTGTTAGGATTTCACTAGCAATCTTTGCAATCAGCTGAGACTTATCATTATCATTGCTAGGAGATGTGTTCTTAGTAACATCAACAAATGTGGATTCCGCCGTTTTGTCCGTAATTGTGAGATAAATGTCTTCGACTGGGGTCGGTGATGATACAACACTATTTTCTGTCAACAGTTCACTGATTTCAAAGCTGAATTTTGTAGAACTTGCAACACTTAATATGTTGGAGGAGGTCAAGCTGCTGAAACCATCGACAAACTGTGTTGTCATATAACTGACTGTATCTGCTGCTTCGACAGCTTCTGTCAATGTGGTGAAGAGGCTAGTATCCAAAAGTAATTTTGACATCTCATATGTGATTGGTTCAGAAAAATCTGTGAATGATGGAGTAAGATAGAACCGTGTTGATTGGATATTCACGGTCTCTATGGTGCTGTCGCTGTTGTCGTGGATACTGTATTTGTAAACATTTTCAGAAGATGACGTTGTATTCAGGTAGTCTGGAATTTTGAATAAAGTTTCGTTTATCGTGGATATAAACTGCCTGATGGTCTCTTTCATGTTGTAACCCAGAACGTCACCGGAGATAGAATCGTTTTTTAAAATGGTGATTGTATAATTTAGCAAAACTACGGACTCAGGTGTGATAATTGTAACGTTGTCAGTTAGGGTCACCCCGCCAGTGAACTGATGTGTAGTTGCAGTTTGGGAACCTCCGAGAAATAGAACACACAATACCAGGATTAGCAGGATACGCATTATTTTCTTTTTGACTTCGGGAACACCTTAACCTGCAATGCTGATAAAATGTCGACACATTTGAATCTAGAGTTTAAAAAAATGTGTGAATGAATGAAGGAATGAAGAAAGGATAACATTGCACTTAGGATATTGCCACAGGGTATTCTAAATCCTAAGGGAATCACTGTGGCGTAGCGGCTAGACGCTAGCGTGCGCATCTATAGGTCGTAGGTTCTCTCCCTGGCTAAGCTGGACTTTTTTTTTTAATGACTGTGACTCCCAGGTCGACCCAACCTTGTGTGGGTACCGGGTGCAGTCCCGGGAAGTGAATGCGGCCGGCGGAATGCTGACCACATCACTCATCTGGCGCCGATTGGTTTATAAAAAATATAGGTCTAGCCCTATATGCCCTATATCCCTAAAAAAGGGAACTTTAATTTTTTTTTTCTTTTTCACTTTTCCATTAGCCAGTGAAGAGTCATCATGCTAACAGCGCTAGCTGCAACCTGAATAAAAGTTCATGTTTCTTTCTCGGTGTTCTTTTTTCGTTCGCTGAATATCTCACAGTCAATGCAATGGCTATATTTTCTCTTTCTTTAAAACCAAAATTGTTTCCCTGTCGACCCAGACGAAAAGGGGTACCATGACATGTTATGGGAAGTAAAGACGGTCGCATGACGTTGACCATATTATTCATCTTCTTTTTCTTCTTCTTCGTCGCGTTCACCAGCTGTAGACTCTGGCGGAAAGTTCTGGTTGTTTATCCACTTCTTAACTGCAGTCCTGGTCACCTGAGTGTTGCGTGTGCATCCGTTTTACAGACCTGACTCCTTTGTATGCAGACTGTTGGTTCCTTGCTTCCCAGGCAGATGTGCTCCCACTTTAAAGGAAGCCGCCAATTAGTCGACTCTTACGACATGCTTTTGGGTGGGCAGTGGGTCGCTTCGTGTTTTCCCTTTAACAGGACCCCGGAACCCACACGGGGAATATAATTAATCTTTTCGGTCTATAAAATATAAATATAGTTGCCATGTAGCCAACAAACCATTGTTCCGAGAAAGTTTCGTTATTTTACACAATTATCTAAGAAAAAGTAAAAACTCCACATTATACCCAAAAAAAAAGGGGGAAAACGTTATCGGAAGTAAGGGTGGCCGTCATGATTATGTCACATTTAACATCCAGTACAGACTGGTCTACACAGAGACGAATGTAGCACCATATGGTGACTTTTCCGCTGGTGGGTGAGAGAGGCGTTCTTTCCTTCACTTTACTTCCCTAACCAAAGACTGAAACCTACCTTACAGCGAGTGACGTTCAACACTTCTTTAACCGCACAACGAGAAACTAACAGCCAGTAATACAGAATACCACCATTCGGATGAGAATATTCCAGGCGCAATTCCTAGACACCCCGTTTAACCGTTAGGTTATATTTAGGGTCCCTGACAAAAGCTGGGATGGGGCTCTAAAGTAACACACACACACAATATTAGGGCGAGTTTATAACCAAAGAGTCGGCTCTGTGGCTAAGTCGATGCGAACGCTTCTTAATGCCGGAATGCCGGGTTCGATCCCAGCTGCGGACCATGCGCCTTGCATTGGTTTCGACAGTGGTATCAGGGAGTCGACCGTCTAGAAAGCAATGGCAAATTACTTGACGTAAATTTGCCTAGAGAAACCACACAACAACCAGGGGTTGCCGGGGTTGGTTCTGCAACGTCCTGTAAAGGATACGCAACTAACCTTTTATAACCCAAAAATGAAACTTACTTTATACTAATCGCCGAACAGGACGTAAACAGGGTTCTTGCGACACAGCTTGAACACAACAGTTCTAACATGCATTCTCCTAAACAGGTGGAATACTTTATAAGAACAAGACATTGTACCCGTATGTAAGTGCAGTCTCAACCAGACACTACGTCTTTGTAACCCAGCTAGGTTGCAATTATGCAAACCATTTTTAAGGGTTCTCAGCTTTTGTTCTCCCTGTCTGACTTCCGGGTCTACCTTTCAGGAGGCGAAATGAAGTGATCAGCTTGCAAAAGGTGACTAACAGGGAGTGTTTGCTTCAAAGTCTGAGTACATATGCCTGAATGGTCATGAACCAAGTGTCTGCTTACAGATGTTGTTTGTTTGTTTGTTTGTTTTAGTATCCAGAAGCCATGAGTTGTTAACCCTTAGGCTCGGTATTATAGATATAGCAACCTTTCGGTCTTGATTTTATTGTAAATACCGTAAATCTGGGAGAAAATGTGGCTTTCCTGTCTGTCCCCGGGATTGAACCCGGACCACAAGGAGTTCGTCACCCGGTTTAGCCAACTGCGCTAGAGAGCCGGGCCTGCTTACAGATAAATCAGATCTTAAATCGAATGTATGTAAAAAAAAAAAGTAATGGAACAAGCCCGGAGTTTGAAACCAATGCACACCGAGACAAAGAAGAAGCCAAGCTTTGCATAGATTTCTCTTTTCTTTGAGTCCTCTTCTCTTAGAGCACTTTTCTCTTACAGCCCTCTACTCTTAAGAGTCCTCTTCTTTCACAGTCCTCTTCTCTTACAGTCCTATTCTCTTAGAACCCTCTTCTCCTAGATTCCTCTTCTCTTAGAGCCTGCTTCTCTTACAGTCCTCTTCTCTTACAGTCCTCCTCTCTTAGAGTCCTCTTCTCTTACAGTTCTCTTCTCTTAGAGTCCCCTTCTCTTACATTCCTCTTCTCTTAGAGTCCTCTTCTCTTACAGCCCTCTTTTCTTAGATTTCTCTTACCTTAGAGCCTGCTTCTCTTACTGTCCTCTTCTCTTAGAATCGTTTTCTCCTAGAGCCCTCTTCTCTTACATCCCTCTTCCCTTAGAGTCCTCTTCTCTCAGGGCCCGCTTCTCTTACAGTCCTCTTCTTTTACAGCTCTCTTCTCTTACAGTCCTCTTCTCTTACAGCCCTCTTCTCTTAGAGTCCTCTTCTCTTACAGTCCCCTTCTCTTATAGTCCTCTTCTCTTACAGTCCTCTTCTCTTATAGTCCTCTTCTCTTACAGTCCCCTTCTCTTATAGTCCCCTTCTCTTAGAGCCCTCTTCTCTTACAGTCCCCTTCTCTTATAGTCCCCTTCTCTTAGAGCCCTCTTCTCTTACAGTCCTCTTCTCTTATAGTCCCCTTCTCTTATAGTCCCCTTCTCTTACAGTCCTCTTCTCTTATAGTCCCCTTCTCTTAGAGCCCTCTTCTCTTACCGTCCTCTTCTCTTACAGTCCTCTTCTCTTACAGTCCCCTTCTCTTATAGTGCCCTTCTCTTAGAGCCCTCTTCTATTACAATCCTCTTCTCTTATAGTCCTCTTCTCATAGAGTCCTCTTTTATTATAGTCCTCTTCTCATAGAGTCCTCTTCTCTTAGAGTCCTTTTCTCTTAGGGTCCTCTTCTCTTACAGTCCTCTTCTCATAGAGTCCTCTTCTCTTTTGGTCCTCTTCTTATA